CACTCACACCATTTCTGTACTTTGGGGCTTTGCCTCTCTCTTATTCAGGATTGCCATGGCCGCCATGTGGCAATCACCAGGCTGTTACAGAATCACAGGGAGGATGGGAGGGGCCTGGCTACAGGGCCAGCCCACATTAGTGAACAGCCAATCACAATCTCAAAAAACATGTATGCTTGCACATTCAAGATGCATGCACGCACGCACGCGCACACACACACACACACACACACACACACACACACACGAGTAGTTGGGGTCAGAGGTTTGGGGGCAATTAGGGGAACAGAGGAAGTATCTGTAGAATACAGAGTGGGCGAGAGAAAGAGATAGGAGACAATAGTGAATAAGGTTCAAATCCTGCCTCCTCAGCTTCTAAAGACCACCCTCAATCATCAAACCTTCTCGAGGCCACTCTAACCATTTATGCCTTCAGATATAGCGGCGGGAATGCTCTGATGTCTGTCCAATCACGGGCCTCTTTACTGGCAGTGGTCGCTCCCCTCCGGCCCTGGGCTCATAACCTGCTCTCCCATGCACCCCTTCATCGTCCGGCTGACCCCGCCCCCGGGTCACTGGATTGGTCATGCACTTCTCCATGCCAGTGCCTGATTTGCTGCCAAATCCTTCCTCCATCCCCCTCCTCACCACACACTCCCACAGCCACGCTCACCTCCTCTGACCCTACAAAAAAAAAGGACCTTGCGCCTTTCGTCTCTGCCGATGAACACATGGACCGCCGAACAGAGGGACTCTCGCCTCCCCATCTGCGTCTCTGTCTACGTGGGAGTTTGGCCTGCCTGCCTTAACCGGACACATTCGGTTTTATCGGCAGGGATCCTTAAATGCCCTGTTTAAAAATGCACTTGAGGGCTTCCGCCTGAGCAGTGGTCAAACACATCAGAAACAGGCTCGCCAGACTGCATGACCCATTCAGCTGATAACATTTCAATATGACAACACTGTTCAGCCCACATAAATGACCCAGGATTCAGCAAAACTGCACTTTTGTTTATTATAAATCATCACTTGGTGCACACTAGGACATAACCCTGTAATAATCCCTACCCTCTAATTCAGCACATATTCATTAAAGCATAAAACCCCTTCGGAAAACCCATGTTAAATATGATCGCACTTATGGGCACTACCTTATGGTGATGCAGTTTCAGTTTACCCTGTGAGGCCTTAGGATTTTAGCATAACTTCTTGTCAGTTCACAGGTTTTCCACTAGAGGGTGGTAAGAATCCCTGTATATGTACAGTACAGCAAGAGGTTTCTTATTATTCTGTGGGGAAAAGAGTCTTAAAAAAAGGAAAGTTCTTTTTATAATGCATAATTCATGAAGTGAATATTATAGAAATCGTGAATAAGACAGCCTGGCACAACAGGCAGTTGCAGGAGTTATTTTAAAAATATGCACAGCAGGAAAACTGTGGTTGATCCACAATGGAGAAGTAACTCTGTGTCTCTATTGTGGACTCTCTGCAACACTTGTAACCAAACCTGGTATTCATTACTGCAAGAAAAGCTTATTTCTTTACTAACAGAAATATTTACCCATCGACTTCAGTCACACATTTTTTAGCAGGAAATCTAAGCGCTTCAGCCACGACTGGGTTGAGCTTGACAAGTAACATTGCACTGTGTATAACAAACAATGGGAAATGTACTGATGGGAAATGTAGTTCATTGCTTGTTTCCCCTTGTAGCCTCAATGGATATCTCACTATTTATGTATACATTGTAATAGTCTAGCTCATAGTATTTATAGTTTCAGCAGACCAGTCAATGGAATGAGTTTTCAGAGTCCAACTGTTTTGACTAACAGCAGTGTAAGTGTAGACTACTGTTGCCACTCAAAGTATATAGGGCATAACAACACAACGCTATATAAAAAACTGGTGAGTTCCCATAAAGGTTAGAGGATCAGTTTGTCACAGTTGTGAAGGCGACGGAACAGACAACCAGGCATCGTGTCCTGGATACATATTGACGGAGCAGATGAGAGAGCGGGAGAGAGAAATTGGTTCCGCCTGTTAGCGCGCACGGCTGGCTGCACCTGCAACAGAGGGAAGGACTAATGAATTTGTGCACGAGTCGCTGTTAACGCAATAATGAACTGAATGCAGGGGCGTGAGTGTGCCGCGTCTTTAGGAATATTAAAAAAAAACGGAGCCGAGAGAGAGCGGGACCGCGCTTCATTTGCGCTGAAAGCAATGCATTGACTTAAAAAAAAAATACATGTTTAATGAACGCAGCCAACAAATTAATTACATATCGTTCTCAGATTCCATTGTCCTTGCGGTGGGCATCCGCTTGGGCTTTGGCGGATTATCAGGATGGAAACAAAAGACGTTGCCCGGACGAAATGAATTTTTCTTCTGATTGATGTGCGAGCGATGGTTTCCCACCTGAGCATTGGAGTGTATCCTCTGAAATAAATCAGATTGACAAGAGCATTTGTAATCAAAGCTGGTCGCCGCACATTTACATACTTTGACAAACTTTCGCGTCGCCCTGCGCCTTTCTGCAAAAGGAGCACAATCGTTTTTCCAGCCTAATTTTCGTCTGAAAACTTTGCTGCTACTCCAGCCTTATCATCTCAATTGCACCGACTCTGTCGCAGGCAATTGTTCCCTTGTTCATGCTGTGTCATTATTATTTCACCGACATGCATTTTTAACCGTTTTATTTTCCTGAGACATAAAAAAGAAACAGCTTTTCCCTCTTCCTTCAGCGAGACAGGAGTTTAAGATTCCATTAGCATGAGTTTAGCAGCGTCTTCAACACATGCAACAGGGTGGTGATAATGAAGTGCTAATTCTGGAGAGTGCAGGCCTTAATTACGCCACACGTCATCCCAATTAGTGATCCCAGCTGTATGAGGTCACCAACATGTGCACCAGTAAACAGTGTTTCATTAACAGTCGCGCTTGGGGAGGAGGACGGGCCCTAAGAGGCAGGGGCCTAACCTTGCACCTCTGGGCCCTACATTACAAAAGCACAGAAGGTTGCGACTATGACTGGCACTAACATGGAAGGGTGGAAAGGCCAAGTCAATAAAGATGCTGATACAGATATAGGCAGCTATGTTCCCACAATGCAACAGCCCTTGTTTTTGTGTTCAGTTCTTTCAAAACAGATAATTTCTAATGGGACTCCAGCTCCAGAACACTTGAGCCTGACTGATGCGGTTTCTTGTTGTTAGTTTGAATGGCTCTGAAGGTGCTGACCAATGGACTGAAGGAACGAAAACCCAAATTTTACCTCGGTTTTGTCATCTTTGTCGAAAATCCTTAACCTGAGGGACCCGAAACTGGAAAATGGATGTTAGCTGTAATATGTAAGGATAATCACCCCGTTTAGGGAAAACAGGTTTGCATTCGAATTAACAATAAAAAAACTATAAACTGAAGCAGAGCAGCCTAAATATTATTATCTGCATTTAATGCAATGTAATGCATTTGTTTGATTATATATTATAGGTATTTTGGCTTTTTGTGCACTATCCTTGCCCATAACATGGTGGCAGTAATTATTATTCTTTGAAAATAATGAAAAAAAAAACATGTCCCACAATCCACTGCTGTGCACAGGAAGAGAAGTCTTAAGGAAAAAAAAGGCAACACAAAAAGCCAATCTGTGCAATAAATAAAGAAGACATCAAACGTGCAGCTATGTGTGATTTAAAGGGTCTCTCCGAGAGAACATGGTAATCACATTTCACCCTATCATCCCCGGAGCAGCGGGATTATGGGAAACATGAAACGATTCCTTGTGCGCCTTATCAGCCTGTACTGTGGGCTGCAGACCCAATTACATAACCCCCAACCCCAACCCCCACCCGAAATAAGACTTTCCCAAACATTTACCTCAGGGAGGACACCCGATCTGTTTACCAGAAACTGTGTTCTGAGGGATAAGACAACACCCGTCGCCGGGTGGGCACAATGTGGCTCCGTCATCGCTTCGTCTGGCCTAATGTAGTGCTGGATGATGATCGTTTTGACTGGTCTGGTAATCCTAAACACTAATTTTGCATATTTCCGGCAGGCTCAGAGACTAAGCTGAAAACTCATTTGAAAGGCTGAGGATGGCTCATTTCAGAAGTGGCTGGTTCAGACCCAGCAAATACAATGAAAATTTGACGGAGATGGATGAACACACAAAATCATAAACCAGCAGTCTCCAAACTGGATCTTCAACTCCATGGCCAACAATACCCTCAGATAGGCTACATAATTTAGCAAGCAACACTGTATTAGGTTGGAGCATAACATCCATAGTAATGAGGGCACTGTGTTGAACAAAATGTGACATTAGGATCAAGACCCACTGTGGTCCCACTGAGTAAGGGTGTTAATCATGGGAGCTGGCCAAATACCAACAGAACTGGCTCTGAATATACGGTCGACTTACCATCTTCCACACCTTATCAGCTACAGAAAACGGCAGAAGAGAACTATACGTTCTCAAATGACTAAACTGCTCAGAAAAAGATAAAAATGTAAACTAGAATAAGTGTTAGTACTAACTCTGCACCATGCATCAAACAACACTTACATAAAACACCCATTCTGCAAAGTGGTAGTAAATGACTAAATTACTGACACTTAAATTTCTGTTCAATCTTTAGTCTACTGTTCATAATTAAAGAAGCACAGCTCTGTGGAATATTTAATGAAACAATTGTTAAGCAAATTTAAAAAGCTCTGTGTTCATCCCTAGACAATGAGCAATAGTGTTGGTTATTACTCCTTTGGTTGTTATGGTACTGTCATATTTTTTTTTTTTTCAAATTATGAAAAATAATTCAATGTGCTTGAAAATGAATTAAGTCTGCAGTTGGAGGCACAAACCACTCATCGAGTCAATGGACTTTAGAAGGCATATTTTTTTTTTTTTAAAGATTTTTCACTTTTATTTGACAGTTACAGTAGAGAGACAAACAGGGAATGTGTTGGGGGGGGAGAGAGAGGGGAAGACATGCAGCAAAGGGCCCAGGCCGGATTTGAACCAGAGCCGCTGCAGTAAGGCCTTAGCCTTATGTGGGATGTGCTCTACCGGATGAGGCACCGGGGCACACCAGAAGGCATATTTTTAATCGCACCCACCTAAATGCACTTACTGTGTTTCCAGTTTCAATGAAAACATGAGGGCGATCAGCAGCTAAAATGCAAAACAAAGTTCTCCTAATACTGGAATAGGATCAACTATGGGTCTGACAGGTAAAGAAGTGGAAGAGGATCAAAGATGTAGGTCACTGAAATGGGTCGTGAATAACAATTGCAGCTGATGCAGAGCAACTCGTCTACCGATGGGACGGCCCTGAGGTAACCACAACGACGGTTCCCACGGTCACACCGATTGACAGACTCGTTACTTGATCCTAAACGCTCTACAATGGACTCCATCACCGTCAGGCCTTTTGATTGGAAGGTTTCTACGGTGTGTGTAGACAGCCCGTCTCGGGGACCGTATGAGCTCCTGAAAAATTATCCAGTCCCACTTCGGCTGAATCGATTTTCCCCCGTTATGGCGGCAGACGGCAAGAAAACTGACCTACTGAATTGGCAGAAAGTGTTGTTCGTGTACTCGTAAACACCACTTTGAAATCCATTCTTCTGTATCCAGTGCTCTGTTCCATGTGTGACTCATATGTTGACGTCTCTGATTACTGCTAGCGTCTGCCAGGCAATAACGGGATTGCAGAGAGACATTCTGCGCAGTATTATCTACATTATGCAGCCATGCAGTGCTTTATAAGCTTAGGAGAGTGACGACATTACAAAGTCATTTCCTTTTAACTTTGCATTTTGCAGGTGACATTCATATGTAGAGGAGTTCAGAGTCATGAGTTTGCATGTGAAAGTATACTGCATTCACAACTTCATGGAAGAAGCCATCAAAGTATGATTGTGTCCTCAGCTAGGGATCCTGATCTTGGATTTCAGCTCAGCAGGCTAATTGTGTCTCACGCAGAACAAGGGGAATATAAATGTCTAGTTTAGAGTATGTTCCAAACTGATCTAAGGATGTGTACAGGATATTAGGAACAATTATTTCACACAACGAATCGACAAAACTTGGAACAGGTTGCCTGGTCATGTAGTTGAGGCAGAGACCCTTGCTGTGTTCAAGTGCAGGCTTGATGCAGTACTGGAAACTCTTTGTTGGAATGGCAAGCTTTGTTGGGCCAAATGGCCTGTTCTCATCATTATATGTTTTTATGTAGAGAGGGTTGCAAGTTTCATGGTTTCAAACCCCCAGCAGACCTACCCAAATTGCACATGGGAATACGTTCACTGATGGAAATTAAGTTATGCCTGAAGCTAACGTTCCTTTTGTCTTGATCCAAAAATAGGAAGGACACAAGTAAAATTCCATGAAGAAATGTTTTTAAACTTGTATCTAAAGCTTGATATTGCATAGTTATTGAATCATAAAAAAGGTTCTACAAAAGGCTCATGATGAAGAAGTGAGTTCACGATAATTCTGCTGAAGACTTCATTTGGGGACATCACATTTTCACGATGTGGAGGTAAGACTATAGTCTTATTTTCTTGATTTTTGGAAATACACATTTCCCATTTACTCACCTTGGAAAGATTTCTTTTTCTATCATAACTAGTGCATGCACATTGTGATATTTTCGATCATTTTAAGAGGAAAACTGCTCAAGTTTAGGGGCATGCAATTTTCTGTTTTTGCCAGAAAACGGACACTTGCCTGCACTACTGCCTGTGTGTCTAAGTTCACAGGAAGCCCATCCTGTCCCCCCTCTCCCTCAATCCCCCCATCACCACCACCCCCCTCCTTTACTCTTTACAAATGTGTGCTAATGGGTTTCCCCATACATGTCTAATTAAAAAAAAGGATTTTTTGATGACTTGCTTACAACACAAACCACGGGTGACTACGGGGGTCAATGATAATCCGTCGCTCAAACCGAGCAGAATTCAGTGCAGTGCAGCCTCAGGTCAGCTTTTGTGCTCATTTCACATGCTTAGCTTACGATCAACTCCATAGTGGCATTTACTATACGAACTCATAAATCGTTGTCAAATCCATCACAACAAACCATGACATTTCAGGTCAGAAGGGCTAACATGTCTGAGGAAAGTGTTTGGATTGCACAGTTTGTCTGTATTGGCCACGTATGTTCTATAACTGGGCTCGACAGTCTTTAACTCAACTCTCCAGCGGCGAGACGGCTTAGCCTTCTAAAGAAGCCACATATTAGGCATTAATTAACAGTCATTCAATTGCTGTGCCTGATTCATTTAATTTAGCGCTCATTAGATGAGCAATAACTTCACACAAGTTCAAGTTGACGGCGCGCATGGCAGTCGTGTCTTTTGACAAATACTTGACTGATTTATTCGTCATTGTTGATAAGGAAGAGCAAATAATGCATTCCTTTCTATCAGAAACAGAATGTGATTTGTGAATTGTTAATTTTACTTTCACGAAACCAAGTTGACTGAAACAGGTGGGGCCATTGGTTTAAAAAAATGTCTGCTCATTACAGTTCAGAGGTGGGAGGGTCCAAATCATGTCTCGCCATCTGTGATTGGCTGGGACCAGGCTGGGAGACTGCCACTGCTTGTGTTCCATAGCTACATAAAAAAGGGTGGAAAAATGTAATATCAAAGAACACCCAAAATTAAACCAGACAACCGAAACCCTCCTGCTGAGAAAATAATCACAGGAACAGAGAGGACAAACTAAAGGTGGCCGGAGCTACAGCAAAAGGAGATATAAAATCTATAGAACAACAGCAAACCTGAACGTGTGGTTAGATTTTAAATTCAAAGCGTGTCCCCAAACTGAAGAAAATGAAAAGTCCTTTAACACTAACTGGCATTCATTTGTACAGTCTTAAACTGGTGCCACCTCTTGTTTTGACCAATGGTCCTCATGTTGACGGATGACTGGACAATATGAAACAAACAGAATACATAAAGTAAACATATTCAATGCAGGTAGCGTGTGACAGAAGCAGCGCAGATGAATGATTGATGGAATTAGTCACTTGCTAGTTTCCAGGGAAACAGTGGACACCTGGCGATTTGGCAACAGGTGTGGAGGCAAGGAAAGCCCCTCCATACGGATGGCTGCCGAACCCACCTGTCTACATAGGGGTCAGTAAGGAGACAGCTGTCCCAAACGAACCACCCATTTTCAGTGGGCCAGTGCCAGGACAGATTTGTGGGAGGTGCCGAAATTATGGTTCATTTTCTCTTCACTTCGCAGCAGTTGTTCCCTTGGTGCAGGATAAAACGCTAAACTGCAAACATTTGATTACTGCTCATTTCTCAAGAATGGTGATCCTAATTAATTATTATTAGCACGACGACTAAACATGATAGTAGTAAGATTAATATAAATATTAATAATGACAGTAACGACGATTATTATTACGATCAACACCACCTCCAGATGATATGGCTGACTCGAGAAGAATGTGCTATACAGTGCCTGTTTTAAATTCCTTAAACATTACGGGAATGTACACATGGCTTTTCAGGTAACATCAATTCGGCTAATCGAAATCACTCCTTTACTTAAACCAGCTATATTCAATCTCTATTATTTGTCAGATATTGACCATCAGGTGATCACCATTTTCTCAAAGGGCATGCTCATGGGGCTAGGCTAGGCTATGCGCAATGACATATGGTGACATTAAGGCGATATGTGACTGCTGTAAGGCAAGGCTACAGGATCTGTGTTAGTAATGGGTTTCAATGCAGATTAGGATGCACTGAAAAAAATGTCATAACCGACTTTGTTAATGTTGCCACACAGTATGGGGTGTCACCAGTCATGAGAAGGTGAGGCTCAATTTTACATAAAAATAAAATCATGCCAAATGTATTCAGCAGCAACTTAAATATATCCACTTTTGTGTATTAAAACAAGAATAAAATATGATGCATGTTTGACATTAGTTATTTTGTCCTTCTGTGCAGTACTCCTGAGGTTTTCTTTAAGACAGATCTATATTCAAACACCTTCTGAATGCAACTGCATCTCTGCTTTTAAGTACCTCCCTTCGGTCCAGAAATCAAACTGTTCAAAGAAAAGCCTGCTGTTGGCTATAGAATGCTGATTTTAAAAAACGAGGATTAAAAATAACCAACATACTGTACACATCCCTCAGAGAGGTCAGAGAAGAAACTCATACCTATTCACCGAGTGCCTCTTTACGCTCCAGATTCTTTTTTCCCCTTTGTTGTTAAGTGTGAAATTACAAAGTGCAATCACCCTGTAAAATCTGAGGAGATTCTTCAGAAGCCTCTCTGTATTCAAAGAGGGTCCAAAGGGAGGAAAAGCATACAGAGATGCACAGAACACACACATAGATGCATTATTGGAAACCCAAGTAAATATCTTTGCTGATAATGGATGATATACTGCAGCAGAAGCATTGCTTAAAAAAACGATACACCCAATAAGCCAGGGGTGTGGGAAAGACAGAAGAACGTCAATACTCTTAACATTATACTGCCACAATTATGGCCCAGTATCCCAGCTAAGGGTTGACACAAAATGTCTCAAAAGGTAAATCAATATGGACAGAATCAATACTGACCAGAGAGGGCAGAGACCATGGATTTCTACATAGCGAAACTATCAAAAGAAAGTAGGAATATCACTTGTGTTAATGTTACAAAAGTCCCCAAATACAACACCGGAGCATAAAAATATTAAATACAAAAAAGTTTTTTTTTTTTTTTTTTTTTTTTTTATTTCAGTCTGAATACTCTTTTTCAAAATCTTTTGTGGCTCTGACCCAAAGAGTTTACTTAAATAGCTTAAGCTTGGCTCTGCTGCCGGGGCTGATTTAAAAAAGAAAAAAAATATGACTTTGCTTGAGTAATTAATGAGAGTGACCTTACAACCCAAGTAATTTTGCCATGCTTCGCTAATGATATCTATATATAACTACATTTCAGTCAGGTTACTTTGCAGTGCGGGTGCATTAGATGTCTACACCAGTGCTGGCAGTGCTCCTTAAATCTCATGGCACTCACCCCACAAATTTCATTAATTTATTTAAAACCACACCGGACCCA